TTTTTTTTGTTTAGTTTAGTTTTTTCATCCAAGAGGAATTGCACTGAACTGAAATCACACACACTGATGTAAGCTGGAGAGGTGATGTGGCTCAGACCGGGACTGGGCCTCGTCTGTCTTATTTGCTGAAAGTTTGCAGCCGTTGTTCTCATGGCCATCTCCATGTAGGTAAAGAACTGTTCTGCCTGAGAGAAGCATCCACGGTTTGCCCCACAAACCGTGTCATCTGTCCTTAATTCAGCAGTTCCTCCATTCCCAAAAAGTGCGAGTATAGGTTCATTTTTCAATAGCGCGATGATACATGGTCCCTCCATTCATCACACTAGTCCTTTTCTCCATCTTCGCTGCTTCCTGGGGTGAACAAAAGAGGATGAAGAGAGTTTAAATGTGTTCGACTGATTGATTGATTAATATTACTCAAGCGTGACTACATAATGTCATTATGAGACCCAATGAGTATGGCCACGTTTGGTAGATCTGTGAGAAAAAATTAAGTGTAAAAACAACATGTGCTTTCACATGGGTTATGTGCTGGACTATGGACTAAGTGTTGTTACATTCAGGTTGCCAGGCAACCAGTAGAGACTTACACTGAGCTGCTGCTGGCCATAGCTTCATATTTACCATACTGACACAAGAGTGGTGTAGATCTTTTAATACGATTTTCAGCAAGAAAAGCTAATAAGCGTATTTCCTGAAATGTACAACTATTCCTACGAACCTGTGTGACAACCCTAACAGGTTTAGTGTGACTGCATGCTCAACTTACCTCCTTGTTCTATGTCAGAGTCTGTGAGATGTGTGAGGGAGAAGCTGGCAATGCTGGCCGGTGAGATGGAGAAACGGGAGTAGTTTGACGAGCTGGTCCAGCTGGGCTCCAGCACGCGTCCTACTGCCGGGGGCGGGGAGGAGAAGCGAGATGCTGCAGATGAGGACATAACCTTTGATACGGGATTTTTATCCGTCTTGGGCAGGAAGGCCGGTGTGGGGGAGGAGAAGTCATCATCCCACTCAAAACCACCACCTGTAGGGATGAAATAAACAACTCTGGGTATATAATGGCAAAGACTATTTCCAGCAGCTGCATACATTTAGTGGTGTCAAGCATTACCTTCTTCATCTGTGGAGCTTTCTGAGTTGGTAAACCGGTTCAGGTAGCTTGCAGTGGGCATCGGGCTGCTGAACTCTGGTACCTGACTGTTTGAGCCTGAAGAATGGTCACCCAGTTCCTTAGTGGGAGTCTCCTAAATCAGAATAGAGTTGGAATTAGAATGGCCACACATCAGTGGCTCACTAGTTACACCTACAACAAAAAAAGACAAAACAATACTTTACCTGGTCGAACAGGTAGACTGTGACATCGTCGAAGAAAGACACAGCTCTCCTGGAGTTATCTGCATTGCTCCTGGCGGAAAACGGGGAAGATGACGCCTCGATATTCAGCGTGGTGGGTTTCAACAAGCTCTTCAGGTTCTTTGCACTGCTGTCGTCTGAGACAATGAGTGGCACCGTATGCACGACGTCATCCTCACTCTCTGAGCTGGAGCTGTGTAGCTGGTACGCACGGATGTCATCGTCGGAATCATCGCTGTTCTCGTCCTCCTCGTCCGCATCTATGCCATCCTCCTGTCCATCTAAACCCGAGCCATCCCGCCTCCCGAGGTAACGGCCCTCCATGTCCGGCTCTTTTATTTTATGACCGTCACTCGCGTAGGTCCTGGTTAGTTTAGCATGACCTGTGCTCTCTGGCGATGGCTCTGATGGGGTAGCAGAAGGAAGTGGGGTTGACGTTTCCAGATCTTCTGATGGGTCTGGCTGATCAGGAGACGTTACGTCCTTTAACACCTCTGGTTTGTTTCCATCTTCTTTGTGATCGATTGTTGACTCCGCCACCTCCTTCTCACATTTCTCTGTGAAATCTGCCTTGGCTAATATGCTCCCAACACAAGGATCAGATGTTTCTCCATCTGCAGGTGCTTCAGAAGCTACAGAAGACTCTCGCTGAGAAAATAAAGAATCTACATCTCTTTCCACATTAGCCTCCAGTGCTGGAACTCCAGCAGCCCCGCTGACCACGTCGGTAGAGTTCATCAGCCACGTCACTTCACTAGAACCTACCGCTACTGTTTCTTCAGCCTTCTTCTCAGGTTCTGATTCATTGTCTGAGAAGTAGGCAGAGTCTCTGTAATTGCTGCCCATGATTGGCTCTTCGGCGGGGGCCACTTGATCTGGTTGCTGGACCTCACTGGGATCCTCGTTGTGTGCGTCCAGCACACCCTCTACTTCAGAGATGATGATTTCTGGTGGAACCAGATTGGTCGCAGCTGTGGGCTCTTCTGTCTCCTCCTCTTCTTTGGCAACACTCAAGCCGTTTTTGACAGGGGAGTGGTCTTTGACATTAGGCTGAGAGTTCCACTCAGGAGACTCCAGGTTCTCTGTCTCATATCCACTGTCTGATATTTTGTACGGAGGCTGGAGTTTGTGTTGGGGTATTTGAGCACTTAGTTCTTCTCCTTGTTCACCTAGCCTGTGGATGTCCAGAGAGTCTAAAGAGTCTGGCGTCTCAGCTGAATTATCTACAGTTGGTAGAGTGGTGGACATACTGTCTTCCAGTAAACTGTCCTGGCTGATCTGGTCCAAAGATGGCCCAGAGACCAACAGAGAAGATCTGTCATGAGGACCCCCACTGGTATCCATGAAGGATTCTTCATGGTCAGACAGAGTGGTTTCCAGTTCTACATCTGCATCCTCAATTAGTTCGCTCAACAGATCGTTACTTGTTAGGTCTTCATTGTTTCCATCGTCTGAGGGCAATTCTTGGACTTGCAGGTTTTCAGGAATTTTACCTTCTGTGGGCTGAAAATTATCCTTTGAGGTTCCAAGGTCGTCTTCAAGGCTGGGAATTTTGGCATCTGTGCACAATAAGTCTGTAGTGGCACTTTCAGAGAATTCAGGGGAGTGGTCATCAATTTGACTAATGATAATCTCAAACCTCTCTGAGGTAGAATCAAAACCAGAGTCCATACCTCTGTCTGAGGATTGCAGCAGACCAAGGTCTTCGGTGGAAGAACTGTTTCTAACTGGCAGCTGGTTGCTTGTGTCATCTTCTGTGACCACTGTAATGGAAGGCACCAGTGTTTCATTTTCTATCAGAGACTGACTGAACTCCCCGAAACTGGCACTTGGAGAGTCTAAAAGTTCCTGTCTTGAGGATGTGCTACTTGCTGCAGGTTTTAAATAATAAGTGTCTGTTGTGGTTAAGCTGCCTAAAGTCTCAAGGTTGTCCCAAGAACGCATTTTGAATGTGTCTTCTGGTTCGTGGGCTACACCAGGTAAAAGAAAATTATCCTGCGGACTTGAGAATCTAGATCCGTCTTTCATCAGGCTCTGGTCTTTGAGAAACATGAAGTTGTCAGCTAGTTTTTCGGTGTTCAGAAGCCTCTTCACATCTGTGTTCTCCCCCTCCACTTCCACAAAATCCACTAGGTGAGGAGCTTCTGAACAATCCCCTAAAAAAGAATCCCCATAGCTTTTATCTGTATCCACCTCCTCGACTTCTAAAGGGGCACCTTCATGGAAAGGGTTCCCATTGCGCTCTGGAAGCTCCATGAAACTCTTTCTCCAGGAAGGAGAGTCCTCTTGCTTGGACCCCCCTTCAGTGAAAATGTTGGTGTGGTATGGACTGTCATTTTCAAGAGAAGACCAGATGTGGCTGTCTGGTAAATAGGAATCCTTGGAGTCAATACTTTGGTGGAAAAAATCAGCATCGGTACTAGACTCATCCAGACGGACATCTTGGAGAATGACAAAGTCTTGCCGGCCTGAACTGAAGTCCATGTCTTGCCCTCTGTCCCCATCGTCCCCATCATCCCCAATAGTGCTCTCCCCTTGTTCTTCCAATTGTATGTAATATTCGTTTCCATTACATGGCTTTTGTGCATCAAACACTGGTACAATCCCAGGAATTCCTGATGGAGTGTTACCGCTTTCTTTGCCCGGTACTCTGCCTACAGGATCAGGGAAATGAGCCTGGATGTCTTCACTGGAAACAGGAAAAAACATGCTGTGATAATTCAAAGTTGTGTCCATGCTTGAACGTCCATGGTTGCCATCATAGTGGTCGTGCTTGGCTGCCTCCCAAACATACTCAAAGCTGAGACCTTTGCTCGTTTCGGTAACAGTAAGAACTTCATCGATCTCTTGTCGCAGGGCATCATCAGCAAATTGTTCCAAGATTGGGAAAGAGGAGTGGCTAACAGTGGTCTGCCGTGCGGAAGGGTTAGGCTTGAGAGCATCCCACCGTTGCTCAAAATCTTCTTCTATGTCCTTCTGGCCTTGCATGCGCAGGTAGATAAGCAAACGGTGCACTTCCTCTGCTGTAGCCCGCTTGTCTGGAGACAGCCAGCAGAACTGCAGAACCTCGTACCTGGAGTTATAGGAAAAAAGAGACTCTTTAGCTAGCTACATTATTAACGGCCAAATAAGTTCAATAATTAAAACTATTTGTATTTAATTTGCTCTAATAGACATATTCCAAAGACTCACCATCTGTCAGAATAAGGAAGCTCTAGTTGTGGTTTAAAGAGTTTGACTTGCTGATCCTTGATCACATGATTGAGGACCTCCCGGTCAGACAGATGTGGGTACGGCTGTGCAGAATTCTCAAAGAGCTCCCACAATGTGACCCCCAAGGCCCTACAGGAAAATGAGGATAACATAGCTGTTGCAATTTACTGGAGGACAAAACCAATCCTGCAGACTCCAAATTCAGCAAATGATCTTAACCTCTTCTAAAACCATAAAACAACGTAGCTGCATTGTTGTGAATATCCAAACCGACAAAAACAGTACTGTGAAACAAATAAATTGCATGATTCATAAAGCAGCTATGATGGCAAGAGCCAAACTTAAATACTTCACTTATGATAAGCGAGTTGCTCTTTACATGGGAAGCATTTCAAATCTCAATATATTCTTATTTCAGGGGGAAAATCTGGCTCTTGTAACTACAACTATCCTATGTAACTCTGCAATTTATGACGAGAAAGCATTCGGGCAATGAGTAGTGAAGTCAGGGAGGGGCTAAAAAGACTGTACAGTGTAGAGAGATGCTTAGTTGGTGCAGTGTCAGTGTCTTTTCCCACTCTTTTGGAAATTTTCCAGATTGTTTGGATTTACAAGCTCTGGAATTAGCAGAAAGGGTTTGTTTTCTCAGCAATGAGTCAGAGGTGTACTACAGAACAATTTACTGTCATACTCATTCCAAATATACTTCACATGTATATTTTGATTACAGGACATGACTCTAACTGGAGTATCTTTCATACCTGCCTTATTACTAAATTAGATTCCGGTTCGCTCGCTCATTAGGAGTGATTTTTTTTTTTTTTAATGTTTCAGTCAAGAGCTGCAATCTGGTACCTACCACACATTGCTGGGCTTAGTCTGCTCCATAGTAATCACACCCCCATGGCGCTCACCCACCAGTTCAGGAGCCAACCAGCGCAGAGGTGCGAACACATCATCCTCTGTGATGATGTAATCCTCCTATAATAACATTGTAAAAACATTCCAGTCACACACAGAATTAGTGAATTTTACAAGCTGTAACTTTCTAAAAAACACAGCAAATAACTGTGCAAACACCTCTTCATTAAAAGCACTCTACAAAAGGAGAACATTGGTTGTTTATCAGCTCTCACTGAGGCAGTGCACTCTCACTTTTTTACATAAATAGATTCAGTGCGTGACCTTATGAGTATTAAATTCAGGCAGCTAAACTGATCAGCAGTATTAAGGAATCCAACAAACAGAATGCCTTAGTACATTTGCAGTGTGTCAAGTTACAAGAGAAGTTACAAGAGACGATATTAATTCATCAGTGAAATATACAGCCGACGATAAAAAAGGTCTATTTTTTTGTCAGGTCATCTGGAGCTGGTTTCACAAAGACAGACTTCAGACAAACAAGTCAGATTGGAGTGCCAGTGGGTGGGGGGAGAATATGGTGTTGCTGCATACAGGTCATGGATGTATTATAAGATCAGCAGCAAGTTATTTTTACAGTGTTTTCTGCAGCTGTCTCCAGTGTTTCAGGCTTTTCTCCACCTTTCAGCACAGAGAATGGTCCATAATAAAAACTGAAGGGGGCGACAACATCACAGTTTGGCAGCTTTAGTTATGAGATGCACACACACAGAGCTCTCCGACATCCCAAACAAACTTTTATATATATGCTTTTACTTGTCTATAGTATTGTATCTATAACATAATCTACTGAAATGCACATCAAATACTTGCACTTTATTAAATACTTGCAGCATCACACAGCAGCAGAAACGATAAGTGTGTCTTTAAATTAAGAGTGTGGCAGAACAGCGGCAGCTTCATTAACACGCCAACCTGGGTAAAATGTCAGTGAATTCGAGTAAAATGCAGACTTTGCTTATCCCGTGTGAATGTTCTGTATAAAAAAAAAAAACAGTCGCAAGGGGGTCATTTCTAAATCACATGAGGTCCCTTGGTAACACCAGTCCTGTGCGAATAGGGCTTAAGAAGGAACTATTTGTTCTCTTTCTCTGTTCTCTTGGCTAATTTTTGAACAAAAAACATGGCCAACGTGCTTCACACTACAAAACTCTCATTCACGTGTGCTTTGTGGCAGAATCTAACAGTTACAATAATATTTAACATTAACAGTTTTTTTTTTTCCAAACTACCTGTGTAATTGTTCATAGATAGACTGGATTAGGGTGGCTAATAATTAAGCTTAAAATGCTTCCAAGAGTAGAGATGGTCTAATTGGACAATATTTATTGTAAATGGCTCGATCAGTGGTCTCAAAATATTTCTATCAGGAAAAAAGTTTAGAAATTAAGCAAAACAGACTAAATGTTTTTACTGCCTGATCCGTCATGGATGCCCAGTCTCCCCCACACATTGTAAGTTTCTCTAGCTTCACTAAGATTCCAGATGGCCCAGCTAACCTCGGTAACCTCGGTGGGACTCGATCAGCCGGGCTGCTTTGTGCTCTGGAGGGGCTGTGTTAAAATGCTACAAAGCAAAACAGTCTTTATTTGTTTTTTTTATGAGTTAATAATGCCCACAATGTGAGCAAATGTGTCTGAAATCAGCTGTTTCTTAATAAACATTCTTCTTTTCAGTCAGTTTAGTGATCACACAAAAACAACACAATAAGACTCAATGGATTACCGCTGGTAATCTGTATCAGACCAGCCATTTCAAATAATATGACATTATTTATCAGCCATAAAAAGTTTGATTGGATCATGTCTATTTAAGAGTAAAACCAGCCTAATGTACAGTATCCTCGTGAAACCAGCCCCTGATGTTGACATGAATATGCAGTTCCATACAGTAGTGATGAAATTATTAAAATCTCCAGGAAGAAAATATCTGAAATTGAGGTTTATGCTTACTTTGTATCTGTAGGGTCCAATTCCATAGTCTCCTACTTTGACTGTAAGATCTGCAGTCAGGTAGCAGTTCCTCAGAGCTAAATCACTATGAGAGCATAGAGAAAGACATGGTTTAAATACTTTCAAGATTCACAATTACCAAATCATTCACTGAATACGAAGCTCACAGGCAAGTTTGTGATCATCACTGGAGTGAAAATATTCAACTGACGCTTGTACGAGTTACTCAATTTTGTTTAGCCTGTACATTGTCATTTGTGTCTATAAAGCAAAGTTAAAGCAAAGACCAGGGGGAAGTGACAACAAAATCAATGTCATCAAGATCAACAAGGAATCCACCATCTGCTCTTAACCCTAAAGGGCTAAGATTACCTCGCAAGAATCGAGGGCAAGCGAGTCTGGCGAGGATCACATATGACTTTGGCGACTATAGGACATTCTTCTTCTGTCATTTGCCTTTGCTCTTCACGTTGCAACAAGACTAATACGGGGGCTATTCCTGACTCGTGCATACAGCAGCAGGATATAGTTTCTAGAGGGAAACACAGGCTCTGCAAACTTTTTGTGGGGCTGCCAGGAGAGGGCGTATGAAGCTCCGCCGCTCTCTCTGGACATTAAGCAGCCATATGTTAGTTCATTCACACCGACTGAAGAGGCAGGCTTTGATTTCCCTTTAGCTCTGCAGCATTCCCTGTGCACAAGTTCCAAGTCCTTTTACCCGCCTAACCACGAATACTGCTGACACCAGTGTTCCTGCGTGTACATGGCCCAGCTACTGTCAGACCCACTGAAACCTCTGTAAGACAAATGGAGACATATTTTAAACTCTCCTGTCCTCTGCTGTTGGCTGAACATACAGTGACACTGATCCACGTCCAAGCTGCTTCTTGATTATATCTGTGAGCAACAGAAAAAGCAAATAACCCTTGGGTCAAAATCTTTATGCCCACTACCAAGAACTGTTAATTATCACCACCTTTCAAAACCAATTATATTTTCACTCAGAAAAATAAATACATATATATATTTATTTATCTACAGAGGGAGCGCATCCTCTTTGCGGCCATAGTTTCTCCTACACCCTTGGAAGGCGAGTGGTATATAGTTGGTTGCAATCTGCAACTTTACCGATAGATGCCACTGAATCCTACAAACTGGTCCTTTAATACTTGAAAGAATACAAACTGTCAAACTTCTTTCTGTCATTTCTGAGTGAGAATATATTCATGGCACACAGTCCAGTATGTGTTTTGCACTTTTGCTACACCTTTCTCACCCTTGCACTTCAAAGCTGAGGTTTCAGCTTTGGATATCAGCCCACACAGCACTTGCCCTGAGGGTTTTGTGTCTGTGGCGCAGCACCATCAACATACATTCAATCTGTAGCTGCAATGCGTGTGTAACATTTTATTTTTTTAACTTTTGCGCCCCTAGAACAAAAGTGCCACGGAAATATTTTTACGATTGTTAATTAAATTAGTCCACACGGAGGGAAGGCTTGTAGAGCTTCCTTTGAGTTGTAACAAGGATTAAAACACAACGCCCAAGATGAGGCTATCCCTTTACATGCAAAAAGCAGAATCATCATATCCTTCTGGCAACGGACAGCTGACACTGTGGCAATGCATGGGAGCTGTGTAATTGGAACCCTCTGAGCTTATTCTGAGCATGCAAAATAGAGCTGATGAGCTGAGCATCGTATGTTATGCCCAAGCCACCCGTTCCCAACACCCCCTGCACCCTACTGGCTGCTAGTAGCCAGACATCCAGTGCTCGCTGGGGTAAAAATGAAAATGAAATGCAGCCTCTCTGCTGTACACACCTTTTTTGGAGAACACTGGTACTCCTGAGACTGGTTGGACAGTAAGCACTAAAGTAAAACTAACAGTTGACCTATGTCTTGACAATCATATTTTATGATGTTTGTGGCTATAAATTTACCAAGTGACATTACATACACAGTACAGTTAGTACATAATAATCATATACAATGAAAAATGTATTAGTCTGCCTTGATCCAAAAATTTAGGGCACCAATATTTATGCATGTTTAATGTGTTGACAAGATGCAACATCAAAATGAAAATGAATGTTAAATAAATTACATTTCAGCCAAATCTTTAATTCCAAATGACAGTTATGTTGCACTGGATAAGAACAGTTCAAATGTATGAGACAAAAGAAAACCCTATCATTTATCCTTCTGTATTTAAATAAATATAGTTTAAAGAGAATAACTCCGTAATTAAGTAATACATATTTAATTAAGAAAACTACTAATCTAATAAATTAAACTGGGGCAGAAAAAAAAAAGTTGGCTCATTGAATAGTCGGGGTTATAAATAAAATACGTAACTGCAATGTTTTTGTGTCTAAATGTCACTAAGAGAGTGAGCATTACCCTAAACAGCAGCTGTCTTCTTTGACAGACAAAGTGTTATGAAGAGCACAATGCTTAGCTTAGTGGGTTAAAACCTGTGAGCTTGCTTGAGTGTTGCAATTCTGAAGTGCTACCTGTGCAGGAAGTTGTGTTTGTGAAGGTGAGTGACACCAGCAGCAATTTCACAGGCCATCCTCTGCAGCTGCAGCAACTCAGCGTTTCTGAACATCCAATCCTGCTGAGACAGATAGCCCCGCAAATCCCCCTGAAAACAGACACACAGACAGACAGACAGTTGTATTAGCTCATCAATATCAAACATAAACATTCAATAAAACCAGAAGAATTTGTATTACAGCAATAGGAATAATAATAATTTAACAAGTGACTCTTTTGAATGCATTGTGCAGAGTCCGCCACACAGGGGCAGTAGACTCTCCTGTTACTGTCTCCTCAGCACTTCTTACTGCTGATGTGTGAGAGGACCAAATAAGGGTAACGCTGTTTAATGGACCTCTATGCTGTGTCACAGAGATTTATAAATAAAAGAGTCCAGCTCAGGTCAGTGAAATAAACTGTGCCCCTGTCTGGTTGGGTTTCGGAGCTCACAAGCGGAGGGGAAGAAAAGAACAAGGTGTCCCGTGAGGCCAGCAGGACACGAGTTAATTAATTACATCCTAACATCACAAACACACACGCATGGTTAGTGAGTGATATTAAGTGTAATGTTACCAGTGTGACTGATCACAGTGCTGTGAGAAGTCAATAGAAGTAACTGGAACAAGGAGTTGCTACAGGGCTCTTTGTGGTTGGATAGAGTCCTGAGGGACTCTAAATGTGAATTACAACAAGGGCCTCAGCTGTGCGCAGGTTCACAACCCAGAGCTGAATGATAACTACACCTGTAGTTATCATTCAACAACAAGTAGCAGGCTGTACAATGGCTGAGAAACTGTCAATACTGTATATATTGTACTTTATTTCACTACGATGTGTGCAGTATATTTAACTCGACTTGACTTCCAAAATGTGAAGGCACAGGGCCATTTAAGTTTAATGTGCTTTTGAGATCATGTTCGCCACGGAGTAAAGCGAAGGAGACTCCTGATTAGCCAGACGAACCGAGACCCCCTGAGGAAAGAGCTACTGAGAACATACTGTACACACACCAGCGTCCTATAATGTACGAGGCGCTTTGCTTAAAAATTCCAAGTCACATGCAGTTATGGAGCGTGCAAGTTTGTGTTTGTGTGTCTGCGTGTTTACAAAGGGTTTACTTTTCCCTGAGCGATCTCGCTACAAGCAGCTTAGATCAGTCGCCTTACGTAAGCAACTCGGTTTGCCTGAACCACATTCACGCCTGCATACTCGGAGAAAAACTATCACACGAAAACACATACGGCTCTGAGAAGCAGTCTTCAGAGAAGAGCTATATTCAATGTATGGTAACTGATACCCTCTGCCTGTCCTCATTTGTGAAGGCTCCACAGCAGGTGATTAAGCCTGGGTTTCAGGAGAGGGGGTCCAGTACTGTTAATGAAACAACATTAACTGTGAAAGGCCAAAACAATTAAGCCTTGTGTCTGACCCGTGGATAAACAAGAATGCACCAAGTTACCAGTGAACAGATTGATGTCTGGCTCAGACACCACATGATTAAGTTATGTAACAAAAAAAAACAAAAAAAAATAGAAAGAAAGAAATTCAAGCTATTTTAAGTGCTTGCCCCCCCATGCAACTAGTTGATACTATAAACAAGGTGTGTATTCTGATTACTGTTAGCTTTTTTACTTGTAAGCTAAACAGAGCAATTGAATGAAATGCGAAACCCAAGCACTGAACAAGCTGCACTGTTTGAACTGCAACAAGTTTAACCAACCGTCTTTGTTAAATCAATGCTAATTTAAAGAATACGTTATCATCGATAAAGCCAATTAACCTACAGAAGTCAAAAAGAACTGCACCAACCAGATGAATTTTAAGGCTCAATTTGCCTACGGTCACAGCATGGTCAGTAACGTACAACTTAATAAATGCCATGACAGTAACATGAAGAGCACTTCCATAACACCACGAGGATTGTTGCTTTAACGATCGTAATAAATGAAGGAGATCAACAGCTTTTTGAAAGCCAAAAGTCAGCTGGCTTACGTCTGAGGCCCTGAACCAGAGAAGGGTCTGACTAACGTCCTGGCCTGGCACCAGGCTGGAGATCCATGCATTAGAAGCCGTCAGTCACGCTATGGTATGTGACATTCTGCGGCCCTTGCACCAGTTGCTTGATGTATTTTGATGTCTAAAATGCTTTGAGTCAGGGTTACCCGGCACGGGTGATACGGGCCGGAAAAACCACCATCAATCACCAGGCTGTCACAGGGAACGTCACAGTATATTGGCTTTTTCGGATTCATCTTGTCCACTGCGCAGCTGCAGTGTCACATTTCATGTTTCGGCATCTTAGGGGATGATTGACACGGCCTGAAGTAGTAAGAGACCACAGCCAAGTTGTCTTTTACTCTAAATTCAACATGAAAGTAGGTTGAAACTGCTATTTTAATGTTTCATGTGCAAGTAGTGCAAATAAAACTTCTTGTATTGTATCCTACTGTATTGAAAGAAAGAAAACACGTATTGTGTAAAACAAGATCCCACTTGGACGAAGTCCTAAAAACTCTTTATCCAGCAGGGGATAACGAGCATAGACATCACTCAGTTGTGCTCCCCTCACACATTATCACCCTCAACAAACAGGACCTGGTCTTCATTACACTATCTTCCTTAATGACTGGTACACACTTGCGATAAGTCATTCACCTTGTCTCGTTTCCATCTCCTGTCAGAGACATTAATAGAGCTGGCTGGGAAAGACCACAATGCCAGGACACCGGCCAGGCCTGGGCAGCTGACAATACCCCGGCCCAACAAAGTTATGCAATGTCTGGCAACGTGAGCCAAACTAGATCCTGCTGGACACGTTACCAGTACAGATAAATGTGGCAAGGTGGGGGGTGGAGTTACTACTCAATGCATTTGTGTCACCGAAGCAGCAGCCATGCACTTCCTTTTTCCTGCAAGCACATAAAATGTGGCTCAACATCCAAGGAGCAGAAAAGAAAATGTTCCACCATGCTGCAGACATGGCTAATAAATTACAGAAAATGCAGCCAGACCAGTGCAATGTTTACCTTTTAAACCAAGTGTGAAGTCAAACTTTATGGCTCAGGCTGTGCCAGCTCATTTATGGTTACCACAGAAAGGACATCCTGGCATCAAGCAGTAATAACCGGGAGGACCTGTGCCCCTCTTGTGCACCAGACACACCTGAGCCTGATACACTCACACACACAAGATTTACTGCTGCCAGAGTAGGACAAGGGTCATCTGATTCAACAGTTCACTCACATGTCAAATAAGTTGTTTTAATTCAACTGTGAGGTTTTGCTTTCACAAATGTGAAGAAACACTTTTAATTTAAAATGTAATACTCTAACTGTTGGTCAGATTAATAGTTAGACATCAGTTATGATTCAATTGTCATTTTTGATATTTTATACAGTAAATGATCAGCCAATACTTTTATAAATTACACCTGCAATAACTAATATATTTTGGCCACTTGGGGGCAGCGGAAGTTGCAAACACAATATTAACTTATAATCACCTTTTAAGTTGAACTTGCTGGCAAACGGTTACTTATTTAAACATTCAGCAGTTATAGGGCAATATTTTATTCATATGGAGTCGTGTTTCTGGTCAGCTGGTGAATATAAATTCCTTCTTTTAACCTTGTTTTGGTCTCCTGAGGCAAATATCTGCCTCCTTAGCTGCTCATTGAAAAGAGCTGCTCTATGTGGCCGAAAACGACGACACGAGAGCAGTGAAAGTGAACCGGAGGAGAGAGGAGTTGCAGATTCAGGCGATAATTCTCGTTGTCACATTGTTATTTGATTTATCATTAAAAAAATATGTTGTAGCCGCTTTAAAGTATAATGAAAATAGTAACAAGTACAAGTCTATTCTGGAGTCTGTGTTAATCAATAGCAATTATAACATATGGAGGAGTCATGAAGACTACGTAAGTAGAAGGAATGTTGAGTCAATTGTAAGGTAAGTTTTGAGGCTGCACTTTGATGGATTACATCACATCACATTATAAGACCTTTCTTGCTGCTGCATGGAGCACACTGGTGTTTGCGTGTGATTTGTGCCAGTGAGTTGAAAATAACCAGCACAACATTTAGCCAGCGCAAAACTGAAGTGACACAACAGATCGGCCACTGACGTCGGTGAATGGCATCTTATTTGCCGTTAAGCCGACGTCAGTGGACAAGGCAAATATCGACTGATGCGTCCCAACTTTTTAATATATTGTTATCCAACACTACAACAAATTAAGCTCAAATGTTGAATCCGCATTTCTCTGACTGTTAGTGTTCATTACAGGCTGGATTAGAAAGTGCAGTGTTTTCTATTTCTTGGTTACTGAACCAAACAGACACCGAGGTGGAGTTTATTTTTAGGGGAACATTTTTGGCTATGCACCCCATAAGTTTCGTTGAGAACAGCTTAGTTTACTTTAGACTCAACTCAACAGTTTCTAACATACACAAGGTGCTACCCATAAAAATGCACAAACACAGCAACTGGCGGTGCCGATACCAGGGGAGCGTAAATGGAGCCTGTTGCTTTACTGGGTGAGGTGGGAATGTGAGAGGTCGCAGGCTTAGACTAGCTATGCGACTTCAGGAGGGGGAGGGGAGCAGCGGAGGAGGGAGGGGAGGGAGCTCCAAGCAGTCAGAGCCCAGCCCACCCAGGATAGGTAAAGAAACATTGAACAAATCAGCTGCCAGGACGAAGCCTGAGTCACTTCAATATGTTTAGGTGAACAAGGGCTAATTTGGGATTGAGACAGTAGGCTCTCAGTCCAGTTGGACAGTAGGGCGGGTCAGCTATGCAATGCTTGCCGGACAGTATTTAAAGGGGTCTTGCCCTGTGAATTTGTGAGCTTAATGGACTGACAAGAGCTAATTCTCAGATTTCTCAATTAATGAAGCCTTCTAAGTGAAGAATGGCTGAACTAGCAAGTAGGAAATGAACCTTCTTGCAATCCCTCGACACTTGTACACAATGACGGCATGTTAACCGGCACAAAATAAGATTACACGCTGCAGATTTATAGTACATAAATTAAAATTAAAATGATTAATTTTGGCTGTTACACAAGTTTCTCAAACACTTTGTTTTGTAGATTAAAAAGGGGTTGATGGTGTTTGTTATAAATAACATTTAGTACAGCATGCGGTCACTCACCATTTCACAGTACTCAAAGACAAGCAAGAAGGGAATGGCCTCAACGCACTGTCCCAGGCATTGGAGGATGTTTGGGTGCTGCAGCACTCTGCATAGATAAAATAACATGAAACCTGTTAATACTGATGTTAATTAGTCAATCTTAGGCAATCTTGAAGATTTGAGAGGAGATTAATGCAATGTGCAAGAGGAGAGGTAGAGGGTGCTGCTAACATTACAGTGATGACTATTTTTGTCCACATGTACTGTATGCATGTCCTTCCACTCACAATATAAAATACTATCAGTATTTAATCTAACATTATAGATCACCTGATTGAAAACAACAGAAACATAATAATAGTCTTCAGTCAAGGGATTTAGGGTGTTTACCTGTATGGATCCCCTTGCTGCAAGAAGTCATTCTGCTCCTTGGCACTTGCATTAGCTTTTAACTCCTTCACCACCACTCTGGCTCCACCTGGATCTGTGTAGATCTCACTCAGAAGGACCTGTTGATACAACACTTCAGACTTAACAAGATACAGAGAAATAGGCCAAACAGGATGTTTCAGGTTCAAACAAGATTTGAAAAATGTGACAAACTCTGGACAAACTGGGGATTGTTTGGAGAACGTGTATTTACCTATCAACCTTAAGATGAGTCATGGAATAAGCAGTAAGAACAAAGAAGAGAATATGTGCCTAAACCAGTTATAACAGATTCAAACAGCCACCTAAATGTGTTCAACCCTAACTTGAATCCACCTGAATCATGCTTAACAAATGAAACTGCCTCACCTTACTTCAAAAAGTGAATTAAAGAAAACAAATCTTACCTGGCCAAACCAGCCATTTCCAATCTCTTGGATGTAACTCAAGCTGTGGCGTGCTACCTGGAAACCTGTGGATCCCTCTGTGAAACAACCACAAAACCTTGTTAATTAAGACTGTACTAATGAACAGGCTTCACCTTGAGCATGTGTTACTCATAAGTGTGGTGATTTATTGACAGGTAGTGCTCAAGATCCCTATCAGATGTGTTTTTCTTAGTACAGTACATCACAAAAACACACCAAACTTCCATATATTTTCCCTAAACATTGTGTTTTGACACACATAAATTTGTCTGCGAGTGTGCATGTGCCTGTGCCTGACCTGCGATGAGGGAGGGAGGTTGGAGGTGTGGGGGTCCAGGCAGGGCCACAGGAGACACAGCGAGGGTGTACACCTCAGCTGGGGACTGCATAGAGGGCGTGTCCTCTGCCGGTGGAGTGAAGTCAATCTCATCATCAAAGTGGTCCTCAAACTCCTGCGTCAACAAAAAAAAAACAAGAAGGGATTAAAACCGGCTTGTCATGACACTACAGAGCACATCTTTCACAACAGGAGCTAGGTTCACAGTGGCTGTCCATTACGATCCATGCGCACTCTGTATTCGGTAGGCGTGGGCGGCCCGCATGGGAGCAGGTGGAGCTGTGGCTGTCTGGCTACCTGCCTGCCAGGACTCTCACCTTGAAGTTGATCTCCCTTTCCTTGCAGCAGGTCACGCAGTTCACTAGCAACACCACCAAGGCCACAAGCGCCGTCAGCGACACCACCAGGGACAGGTAGAGAGACACGGACAGCGTGTCCCCTGTACCTCCACCTGAAAAGAAGGACAGACACAAAGTATGCTGAATCATTCGCAGTAATAGCTGTGCTTCAAAATGTATCTGGAAGAGAATGAAAGAAGGCACCTGACAGCCTTGTCACGAGCATAAACATAAGTGTGTTTGACAGTAATACAGCACGCCAGGGGTGTACTGGCTCTTCTTCTAAATCCACCCACAACAAAAAGCTTGACAGCAAAAATAAACTGCACTGTGCTCCTGCAACTTTTGGAGCTCCCTGCTCTCTTTCACTAGCAACTCCTCTGCAGAGGGAAGAAAGATTAAAAAAAGGTTCATTTATGGTTCACAATTTCTGCAAACATTACGTGACAATAATTGTGACTTCTTCAGAACCAGAACAAGCAACCTCTATCCCTAATCGGCCATTCGGGGGACAGCTGTGGGGGTTTTCACTGGCTGATAAGCAGCTGATGGTGCAGCAGTGGTGACAGCAGGTGTGGGTCTGTGCCGGTGAGGATGCTGCTGGCCCAGCAGTTTGAGTGGCAGGGCTGACAGCAGTCTTGCAACCCACCCACTGCTCTGCTCAGCTGCTGCACCTCTCACTACACCTATGCTGACCAACACACACACACACACACACGCACAGCTGAGGCTTTCCATTTTGGTGCAACCGATTTCCAATTTAGTGCCACCAACGTCTTTGTTCTGGAGACTGCTTCACACACACAACACATTTTAACTATTAGAGGCCCAATTTATTTCCAGCGTCTGTAGTATAGCCCTGTAAAAAAAAAAAACACAGATAACGTGCTAATGAAGGAAATAAAAGTGGGCTGTAGTAGGTAGCCAAACCACATTTATAGCAGATTTTGATATAGCAATACATTTAAGTTGTGGCTGTGGCTCAGGAGGTAGAGCGGGTCATCCACTAATAGATAGATAAATAGATTTGCGGCTCCTCAAAGCCAGGTATCGCAGTGTGCGAACCCCAAATTGCTCCCAACGCTGTGCCGTCAGTGAGCGTGAATGAATTTGTTTCTGTTTCTGATTGCAGCATCTGCAAAACGGGTGAATGTGACATGTAGATTAAAGAGCTTTGAGTGGTAAGAAGAATAGAAAGGTGCTATATAAGTGCAAACCATTCAAATGATATTATTTAGAAAAATTAAAGATGCTCCAAAGGCAGAATTGTTAAGTGTAGGCAACGGCCTTTAACTAAAAAAAAATATGTTCTCCCTGGATTGGAAGCTTACAAAGATGGACAGACAAAGTATTTAAAAAATGCCTGTTTCTTTCTGACAAAAGCTCAACCATGTTCTTGTCCACTTTGTCTTGTCAGGTGCCAAATGTCACTGCTCATGCCTAACAGCTCGTCTGAAAGGTGTGAGTACTGTCTGCCTGTTAGAGTCAGTGCTGTATGTGAATGAACAGCCCAATCCACTTGAAGCTTATTTTATAATTGCACTATGTCGTATCACATCGTAATAAACGTGGACATAATCTCAGCCCTCTAGATCTCGACAGGGCATGATGTGTGTGTATGACGGAGAGAGTAAGAGTGTGTACTGAGAGACTGGTGAGAATTCGTGGGAGACTCTCCTCCCCGTTCTCCGTCCCGTGTTTACTCTGTCTCCCACTGGTCGCAGCTTGTCAGGTACATCCTGTCCGCTGGAGGGAGAATCAACACCTGCTGAGTCTCCTTCTGCTGAATTACAAAATTCCTGACAGATGAAAGCGGTTGCTGAATACATCCAAACTATAACCCTACCACTAGTTGTCCCATGTTGTCACATTAGCAGAGATTTTTTTTTAGTAATACTGCAACACAGTCTGAGCCCTTTGGAATAAATGAGAGACCAGACTGAGGCTAATATGTTTGCAATGAGCTGGTAAATTCGAAAACATATTTTTTCCCTCTCCTTTTTGACATTTTTAACAATGTATAAATTGCGCTCATTCGGATGGGATCAATCTGAAAATGGTCTCTCGTGTGGATGGTGCAAAAAAAAAAAAAAAAAGCTTTTCCATATTATAGCATATCCTCGTTGGACACAGTCCGGTCCTGAAATGTTAAAATCAAATCTCTCCGGATAGCTTATACAGGTGTCATCTTTAATCTGCATTTATAGTTATTGTGAAAAAAGAAAATGCTCTTAGTGCAGCAGCAGGGGGATTATTATTATTATCCTGAGCTACCCTTTTTGATCTATTTTACATGCTTGCAGATGTCAAAAGAAATCGAAAGTCGACTGAATGTCAAAGAAAACATCTAAACAATGCATCCAACCTTACTGAAACAAGGAGAGTAGGAGGCAACAGAAAGGAGATTTAAAGTGCTGACACCGAGCTGAGGCACTGGGATGTGTCACACTCACACCAGACAATGGCTGTAATGCATAATGTTGTTGTTGTTGTTTGTCAGCAGAAAGAGGGGAAAGAAGAACAGATTTAGCTATTTTTCTCCCGTTTTGGCGTTAACTAATCTGGTCCTGGTTCCCCCGGTATTATAAATAAAATATTCTCTCCAATTTACCCTGAGGTAAGAACTTGCAGAGGCTGAAAGCGAGTCTAACAAACAACAAGCTGAGCAGTGATCTTACTGCCAGTCCGCTCTGGTCAGATGGAGCAGCTGTGTATTCAGACAGCACAGCAGATGAAATGAGCAGTAATCACTTTATCTCCCCGGGGAACATCAGATATGATCCAAAGTGTCAGCCATGATTGATATTCATTTCATGTCTACTGCAGACAGTACGCCAAGCTATCACAGACGAAAAATAGACAGGATTAAGCTGGTCTCTTACGTCCTGACTTTTTTTCTTTTTTTTACAAATGTCTTGAGAGCCTTAGGTTTTCCCAAACTGACATACATTTTCAAACTGTGAGCTGTGTTTCCCCTACCGCTGAGATCCAGTGTAACATTACAACTCTAGATCACGCTCGGTCAAAGACACCACAGGCAACTTGGCCTTCAGGAAAAGTAAAAAGAGGTATACTGTGTGAAATACCTGAAACACGTATTTAAACCAGTCCTGAATGCTTCCACGGGAATACTTGCACAGACACCTCCTCTGTACTAAAGACTGCACTAGAGAAACAGTGTCTGTGGTGAAATATTGATGAGAAGAGACATTAAAGATTAAATGGGTCTACAGTCAGAACACAGGTCAAGTGGATGTAGCTCTAAATGCAGATGTGTACTTACAACTGTTAAATTAAAGTGTTGCTGACCTTGCAATTCATCATCGGCATCAGGAGGGAGGCGATGTGCCTCGCTTAGTCTTATATGGGCTACTGAAAGGTTACGCACAAATCCTTTGTGTTACAGTTGTAAGTAGAAAGAACAGGAGGAGAACTGACGCAGCTCGACATAATAGACTGAATCTGCTTAACATTCATTAATAAGAACCACAAACCACACAGTCATTTCAGCTTGTTGTGAGTCAGATTTTACTGCTAGCACTTGACATGTCATAGCTTCCAGATAGGACACGCTACAAACAAATAGGAAACTATGTGGAGAGAGCGATCCAGAGGAATTAACATGGTCTGGAGGGAAGAAACAATGTGACATCAGGCAAATGTCAAGTGCAGTAAAAGCCTTCCAGTAAAGAGAAATGAAACTAAATATAAGAAAACATAAGAAAAGCCTCTATTGATCCCAGAGGGGAAATCCTGTTTGTCTGTGTATTCAGTGAGAATCACAGCCAGTAGCTTAGCATATGTCAATAAAGGAAATCTGGTTGGTCTAAATCTCTATTTAGACTATGGATGTAACGACACTCAACTCAAAGACTGAAAGACTGATTTTCACAGATTTTATTTCTGACGGTTATAAACTGTGCAAAACAATGTTTCCTTTCGTGAAGTGAAATTGATACCACAATTCACTTTTAATCTCACCGATTTGAATCCTCACATATTTGTATCACGACTGAACCGTCTCTCGATATATATCTTTAAATTCTTCATCTGAAAATGCTGAGTTGTTGGTAGAACTGGTGAGGTACAGAGCTACAGGGACTCTCCGGTTTGGATAAATACAAACGTCATAAAGATTTACAACTGTAAACATACTGCAGCCCACTACCCCCACCACCACAGCCTCACACTGAGAGAAGGAAACCCCCGAGTCGGGATAAGACCATCCACATATGATTCATAATTGTTGACTGGCGAGACTTTCCAAAATGGAGCTACTGATAAACCATGACGTAATGGCCCTGTTCCAGTCACATCCAAAATACGAAGATTTTTTTAACAAAACACTTCCATCTAGTAAGTAAATTTAATTTATAAAGCACATTTAAACACAGTATAAACCGACCAAACGATGCGTACAGTGGATGACTAAAAAAAGGCAAATAATCTACAATCACAGCCAACGAAATCTGTCACTTTGTTCGACTGTTCAGAGTTCCAGCTGGCTTTAATAAAGCCAAAGCTTAAAACCTCACAACAATCCTGTGAAAAACATGTGGCTGTAATTGCAGGCAGCTTTTTGATACGAACACCTCCTGTCTGTTTCAGGAGCGTGACGGGGATCCAGGCAGCGCAGGACTCCCAGAGAGGCTGTAGCTGCAGTCAGATAGAAAAGACAGGAGCTGGGTCACGGCAGCTCTACGTGGGATCAGTTCTCCTCCGCTAGGCCTTATCTGAGTCATGGGTTCATATTATGACTTGGCAGGCTCCACCAAAATGACTCAACTGGTTTTTGGGACCAATACGGCAGGGAGCTGCCAGGTCTCATTTCGGTTCCTCTGCATATTTCAGTAGGCATTCACACAGAGGGGGAGCTGACCCATTTTTTTGCAGATTTTACCCACCAGTGTGCACAACAGTGGATGTCTGCACTTTCGGTTACACGCAGGATGAAGGACGGCGTTGTCTGGCTGACGTGTTTGGGTTTCGGCTAAGATGTGTGTGCCTGCTAAAATAGGAAGCGCTAGAGGCTCGTCGATCAAATGAAGAGCCCAGGGATCTGAAGCAGCCAATACTTGTGGCTGCCCTTGGAAGGATCCATAGTAACACTGTGTCGTTTTCAATCATAAATCAGTAACGTCTGCCGTCAAAACAATAAGACACTATATATATTGGTCAATATCCGCATGTGTTCTCTCTTTTTTCATATACTTTTCTTTTTAAATATGTAAAATGAAGCAAGCAAATGGACTAAAGGGGGCCGTGGCTGGAGCCTCGGCCCCTGACAGCAAGATAACTGATAAGCTGGTTTGTGAAAGCAGCATCGCCTCCACAGCGTCTCAGAGCCACTGAGTAATGCAGTGGAAGGTTAAGGCCAATGTCCACCTTGACTTATAAACTAGACATGCCACCATCACCTTCCTGTTACTACAGTTAAAGCTTACCCATCTACCCTCACCCATGTTTGATATGTGTAAACAAAGCGCATGTCACTGGACGCCCGGCTTTTGAAACTCCCTCTCCAGCTCTTCTTTTACGTGTGATCTCACCCGTAATTCATTTTCCTAAATCCAAATGTTTTTATTCTCCTAAATACAAACTTTAAACAACCGAGTATTACTGTATCACACCTGGGCAAAGAACAGGTTGCTAAGTAATAAAAGCATAAAAAGCATGCGCATATTGCGACACACCTTTCCCGTACGCTGTATTATAATTATGTAAACATCACTGTTGCTAATCATTGACTGGTGCTGATAAGCTTGGAATGTGTTACAGTTACACATTACCAATATTCACGTACGCATCCATTCATTTCTAACAGGGATGCTGGTTACATTATACCAAGAGAGGCCACAGTGAGAAGATCCAAAAACAGTGAAACACTGAAACTATTCCCTTGTCTCTGAAGTGTGGCGTCCTCAACAAACGGCTGTTGTAGTAATTGAGTCATCTACTTGAATTGAGTACTATTTTTCGATTAACAACCTAATTCTGTTTGGAAAACAGTCAAAATACTTTAAAGGGAATTATAATGCGCTGAAATGAAGGAAACCAAATATATACTAATCCTTGAGAAGCTGTAACCGCCAAAACGCTACGTTAAAGTTTTTACTCGATGAATACCACTGATGATTAAAACTATGATTAAAATTGTCATCAATTATTCTGCTGTTGATACACTATCAGTTACAAAACAATAACATCTGATTAGTAACAAGTAAAACTGGTGGGACTGAATTGTTGTCATACATTTCCAGTTTCCTCCTGTTTCTCTAAACTGTTTTCTTCCACGCACAGACTTTCATTCATCCTAAAATAATCGAATGATCATCACACCCGAGACAAAACCTGTGATGTGGGAGAAGTGCCAGGACACTATGATCAAAGAGGTTATTCAAGGATCACATCAAAACAATGAGAAACAGTGTTTCCATGCTGGTAGGCCAACATCTAATCCACTGTACCATAAACTTGTTTAAATGCCAATGACTGTGAAAGGTGAAACACCCCATTACCTGTAGTTAAACCGGGCTGTTCTCCATTAACTCACATCACTGCTGCCCGATGACTGACTCATGTGCGTTCAAAATCAATCAGAGTGAAACTAGACAAGGTTAACAAGTATTTTCCGAGTGCTGTTGTTTGTGTTCACCTGTTCGCTGTCAACTAGCTGAGTCGTAACGATGACACGCAGGGATTTTCCACATATTACTACAGACAGACAGAACAACTGATGTCCCTTTAAACTTTGTGATCAAACACATGTCAACGTCAATTAGCACGACTCTCACATACACTGATAACACACTCCGCTGGTGAGCAGGAAATGCAGGCAGGTTGTTGTGTTGTTAGCCTTTAGCTGCTGATTAGCACCAGCTACCAGCAAATACGAGCCGACAGAAACATCCGCTAGCTGGCGGCCGGACGGCAAACAGTTTAAGCGAGTGAACAAAGTGTGTATCAGCTTGCAGTCAGCTGTCTCACCTGATGTGCGAGGATACAGCAGAGGAGCACCTTCAGACAGACACAACGCCGACAGAAGAACCCCAGTGGCCAGCAACCAAACATTTCCATGGCGGCTCTTCATCCTCCTAGCTCGGCTAACTAAACGCCAGCTAATTGGAATCGTCGTCCTAAACAGCAAATGACCGGTTCGATACTAAATTAAGTGTTTTAATCGTTTAACCCCAGCGTAGGCTTCGCGAACACGCATATTTTCTGTCTGTTTAACGTCAGCGACTCCCTGTTAGCCAGCTAACTAGCTTCGGCTAGCACGTCAATGCTAAGTGTTTTAGCTGACGACAGCAAACACCGCTACGAGATGCGGTGTCCCGTCGCCCATGGAGACCAGAGGAGCGATCACCTTTCCCGACCGATCATATTCGGTGTGTCTGCGTTAATGCTCTTTCGATGAACACAGCTGAGGGACATTAATCAATAGACTATCATGAGACACCTCTCCTCCAAAGCGCCATCTTCCTGGACGACGTCACACCGCGGGATGAGGCGTACGACTTCGAGTGATTGACAAGTGCCCCAGCCAATCACAGCGAAGGACACCTTCACGTTGCACAGCACCGAGCCAATCAGCTTCGAGCTTTATTATCAGTCATGTAAATCCAGTGCTTTGTGTCAAAGCTGAAGAAAGCTTTTTACATCCAGTCATTTGCAAACCATGTGATGCACGCAGTACTGATGAGGAAAGACGACCTGTCTATATTAAATGTTTATTTCTGGATTTACGGCCAACCATAACCTATCCAGCTGCATTTTATAGGCGGACGGTGTCATTTGACTGCTGCGATGGTGCTGGCTTACAGTTCATGATCTGTTTCTTGTTCAGTTTCTTTCATATGAATATTGCTGGGCATTAGATGTACTCATTAGAGAACTCATTCTTTCTGATGATTAAACAAAGCAAACAAAATGTAACTCTATTTCGATCCCAAATGCTAAAGAGGCTAAAGAGCTGTCAAGTTGTTATAGGTTATTGATACCAATTAAAGACAGCAACACCTCTGTCTACCTGTACGTTTTTTCCTGACATAATATTGTTTTATTGGCTTTCAAGCCATAGCACATGAGAATTGATTTATTTTGTGTGTTAATATATAACAGATTTCATTATTTTATTGCTGTGTTTATGCTTGCTAACAAGACAAACCCACATATTTCTCCTGTGTTATTATATATAGCTAAAATTTACAACATGACAATTTAATCTTCATGTTTTTCCACAGTGTCTTTATTACATGTTTTAAAGATTACCAGACATAATTAATACCAAAAATAAGAGCACTAATGGTTGATTGATAAGCATCACACTCATCTCCTCTACTGAAAGGTTTTGTCTTTCCTGAGTACACCTGCTTCTGTATTTTACATCACTATTCCTTATGAATGACATGAAAGATTTGCACTGGTAAAAATAAATAAAAATAAAATGATTATCAGATTTGAATGTCATTATTCTTTATACTATTTGTATTTGTGTGTGTTTTCAAAACAATATGAGTGAGAAAATGATCTGCTCTGATTAACTGATGAAGGAGGAGGAGGCTTTGTGGCGTGAGGGAAATCTCCCTGGGTTTGAGGACAGATACGTCAGGTTGCTTCTTGCACTCTGGATCACGAAGCTGAGAGAGAGTGCTGGTGGCTTATAGGCAGAAAGCAAGAGAGGCAGAGATCGGCACATCACAGGCTCAGAGAGCGAAAAACCTCACCCAAAGCACGGTGAGTACCAAGCTTTTTTGCAAATTCATGTGCACAACAATGTTTTTGTGATGGTAGCTGGTAGTTCTGTGTGTGTTTGTGCTTTGGAGCTTTCTTTAGCTTAAAAAGATGGGGGATTAAAAAAAAAAAATAGGATGTTCAACCTTCTTTGTGTTTGCTTCTTCAAGTTGCAACAACTTTCTCAGTCGGGAAGGAAAATCTTTCATTTTGTGAAACAAAGCTTGGATCATCAAGCAATTCTCATAAGATTTCTGTCATATGATGACATATATCTGTTTCCCTCTCTCTCAGAAAATAACACAAAGTTATATCTTTTTTTAATATG